GATTACATGTGAGAAAGGTTATAGCACCCTTACAGCGCCCATCCAAAGGATGGTACTAGTTTGATTCCCAAATTATCAAGCCTTAAATGTATTTATAATTTACCAAAATATTTAATATTAAAAATTAATCCTAAAATTACCCCAATAGTTTGGTAATAATTTAAGATAATTCTCTCAGCTCATGAGTATTCATGAAAATTAGTGTCTTACCCTAAAGAGGCTCCGTCATTAGATTTATTATAGTATTTTATTTAAGAAAATTAGTAAAGTCTCTTAATAGTTTGGTAAGATTTACTTTGAAACAGATCTCTCAATAATTTGGTGAGATTTTATTATAAAAGTGTTTATAAAATTTTATTTTTTAAAAAAAATTCATTAAATCTCTCAATAGTTTGTTAAGATTTAGTTTAAGAAATAATCCTCCAATAGTTTGGTAGGATAAAAATATATTTTTTTTAAAGCTGATTTATGAAAATTTTCAATAGTTTGGTGGATTCCATAAAATTTAAATCCATGAAAATCCTCCAATAATTTGGTGGGATTCATGAATTTATTTGAGAAGATTTTTTTTGTTTTTTTTATTTTTCAAAAATAAAATAATAAAAAGGATTTTTATAAATATTTAATATATAATAAATTGCTCAACAAAAAAAATCAACAAAATAAAATAAATAATAAAAATGAAATAAAAAAACTTAAAATATAAAATGATAAAATAATCAAAAAAAAAAAAAATCTACGATCGAGTCGGGTTGTGCATAGTAAAACACGTGGATCTGGATGTATCAAATTTCATGCTTTTCTTCATAAGTGTTTCATTATGCCTCTCTTTTTAAAATATTATTCTTTTGTTTTCTCTCTAACTGATTTTCAAAAATTGATGAATAAATACCAAAAGCTGACAGAAAATTTTCAAAAACTCAACAAATTATCTAGAAAGCTAAACCCATAAATCTCTAGTATGCAAAACCTTATAGAAATTCAAACTTAAAAACAACAAATCCTGATTTTAAAAATCTAAACAACCAAACCCAGAATCTAAAACCTCTTGGTTGCTAAATAAATTTCTCTTTTTTTCTCTCAAGAGTTTTTACATAATCTTTTTTTCTTGAATATCCCCATTTTGATTTGATCACAGATTTATATAGGAATTCATGCTCAATCAATTCCCCTTAAATCTATGATTTTTTTTTTTTTCGTTTTAATAAAAATTAATTCTAAAATTAAATCCCAAAAATCTCTTTCCATTATTTTTAATGCCAATTGATTCTAAAATTAAATCCAAAAAATCTCTCAACATCATTTTAATGTGAATTGATTCTAGAATTAAATTCAAAAAATTTTTCAATTACGGTTGAAGCCTGTTTTTCAATTCTGAAAAAATATTCTCAGATAAAATGGAGTGTCTACACTATCAATACTTATTCTATTATATAATAATGCATGTGTCTTTGGTTTCTATCAAATTATTTCATTATTTTTTTCTATAGTTATTTATGTTCATTTATTTTTTTAATTCACGTTTCTTTGTTCTTGTCTTCTTATTTCTATTTTTTATTTTATTTTTTTATTTTTAATTATGTTGAACAATTTTGCTATTAGTTCTATTATTTTTATCATGAAGTTAATCTTCATGATAATTTTATACAATAATTAAGATATTATTGATTTCATATCATTAATTTATTTTTCTAAGTATATAAGATTCTTCCAATGATGAAATTAATAGGGGAACGTAAATGATGATCTCCTTAAGAATTTAAGGGTGAAGATCTTCCAAATTAATTTTGCCAAGGTTATTGAGAGGATTTTTTTTGGAGATTTTTTAATATGTGAAATTTTATTTACTTTTTTCAAAATAAATTTAACTAAATTGTAATTTTAAATTGAGCCATATGATGGAATTAAGAGGGAAACATGAATGGTGATCACTTTGGGAGTTTCGAGATGAGGAATTTTTCAAATTAATTTTACCGAGGTTATTGAGTGAATTTTTTGGAATTTTTCAATAAAATAAATTGTTCTAAAATAAATTTAGATTAATTAACAAGCAATGGTAAATAAATAAGATCGTTAAATTATGACCAATGTTTGGATAATATAACATTAATAAGTCTTATCTTTAGGATAGATGTTGTAGTAATGCTCTAACTAAATTTATAGATATAATTTTATTAGTAAATCATAATTTATTCTTTTTAAAAAAAGTTTAATTAAGTTTAAGATATTTAAAAAAAATAAATTTATTAGGTGACAATCACACCTAATCATACCTAATTAAAAAGAAATTAATCACAACTCCTCATGTCTAATAGATTAGTTGTCACTTGGTTATCACATAATCATGAAAGATTTTTAAGGAATATTCAAAGCAGATATTAAAAGCTTGTGATATCCCTCATTTCCATTCCAATTTCCTTGATTTAATAATAACTTCCACAGCGCGTTTCCATTTGGTGACCTTAAAGAAAGCTTGAAATTGCTCGATGGAAAGCAAGCATAAAAAGCATCATAGATTCAATCCCAAGCTCATCAAGTAAATCTAAAAAGAAAACAAAGAGAAGTGGTCATATTATATATTAGCGTAGCTACCTCATTTAGTTCGAAGTTTAAAATTTTTATTTTATTTATTGTTTATTTATTATTTTAATAAACAATTTTAAAAAAATGGTAAAATTTTAATTGAAGAAGGATTCTTCGATTTGATAAAAATTTTTAAAAAATAAAATTCAATTTTAATCTAATTATCAAATAGACTCTTTGAAGAATTTAATTTTAATTGAAATACTGTTTGAATTTATATTCTCATCTATAAATTAATTCCAATATACACAGAAACCATGAAGGGAGAAACAAAAAAGATAATAGTGAGGATATTCTGGAGAAAGTTGTCAACAATTCCCAACAGCTGTTTCGTGACACAGCCAAAGCCATATTCCTCCTATAGTCCCGAAACTACCATTGACCCTAAAGAAAAATTGACTTGCTAGAAGAGTAGAGATAGTAGAAGAAAGATTGAAGCTCAAAATCTGTCAACAACTGAAGAGAATCTCTTATAAAAAAATTAGGCGTTGCTGGTCCGGGGAGGAGGGGCTAGTTTGCTACAAAGGCATGAGAAGCAGACAAAGAAAGGGATAAAGATTTTATGAAAGGATCCAGACTTGAGGATTTGGTTCAAGTCCAACAATCAAACATTAGTTTGGCCCAAGGAATATTCAAGGCCCACAAACCTAAACTAAAAAACTTTCAAGCCCCAAACCCGTTGTTGGAGTTGGGTTTTAAACCCAAATTTCAGGTTCTTGTTTAGCTTTCCTTTTTGTTTCATTTTATTTATTTATTTTATTGACTTATTTTTGAAATATTTTGCAAGATTAAACTTTTTTTTAAGAAAAATTATCAGGGTAAGTTATTTCAAATTATAAAAAATTAATAAAGGTTAAAATAAAATTCAAAGGATCTATTATTTAAAGACTCTTAATCAAGCTTAAGAGTTTTTTAAAAAGATAAATTCATTACGTGATAAATCATACTTTTTAAATTGTATCTAAATATAAATCTAAATACTCTTAATCAAATTTAAAATTTTTTTAAAAAAATAGATTCATTAGGTGATAAAATCACGCTATTTAAATTATATCTAATTATAAATTTACAAATCTATAATAATGATAATTAGTAGCATGTGTATTTTCCTACCTTAAATTTTCTAGAAATAAGCACCCGTTAAGGGAAGCAAAATATATTTGGTATATATATATATATATATATATATATATATATATCTCGGTGGAATCAAAACCAAGTACGTTCAATTTGAATTGGTATTTTACCGATCATGATTATCATCTTCATTATTGTGAGCTATGAGCGCTACAGATGGTCTAATGAGAGAAATGGAAGTGATTGACACGAGAGCTCCACTAAGTATTCCAGTCGGCGGAAAGACCCTAGGATGAATTTTTAAAGTCATCCACTTATCAATTAAATATTATATACTTCTGAAAATCCAGCAATGACTATTCTGAAACCCAATCTGATCAGTTCTTGCAACAATTTCATCTTCAAACCAGCAATGATGAAATTCTGTTATTATAACTCATATAAATTAAATAGCAAAATAAAAAAAAACTTTGTGATCAAAGTTCAGTTAACTTGGAGCAAACTTTTGCTTGTTCTGCTTCTGGACGGTCATCTAATTGTTATCATTGCAGGTTCAACGCAAAATTTCATAAACAGAAGAAGAACGCAGATGATGGTGCAACCAAAGACTTTGACTCATGATTGTTAAGAGTCAAGAACTCCATCCACCTATGCATCCTAATTGGGAGCAATTAAGTGTCACTGGGAGGGTTATATATTTTGGAAATAAGAAATATTAGGGGGGGGGGGGTTGAAAAGTAGCTTGCTTGGGTTCTAACTCTGGTTTTGTGCCCCTCACAAATGGTGAAATATTGCTTTATACATGGTTAAGAAGGATGACCATTGACTTAACTTTTTAATTTTTTATCTGGTTTTATAGATTTATTGTCACATTTTTTTCTGACTAATTTTGTTAAATTTTAGGACGAAATTCCAGTAAAAAGAAAACGGGTTACATATAGAAAGGGAAATTCTTGTTAAAATAATAGAATTTAACTGCTTTTAAGTAATTTTCTTTGATTAATTATTTCCTTTATGTTGATATTTCATTCACATTTTTAAAATTTCAGTTCTTTCCTTTATTCTCCAATCCTTTCTATTCTGCCAAACATGGTGTTGATATGACCAAAGATCGGAAATTAGCCTTATGATATAATTAATTAGCTGAACAATATATTGATATTGACCATTCGAATCTAATTGACATTGAAGTCTAACCAAATGGCAAAATTATTTAGAACAGAACAGTAGGAGGATTAACCTTGTTCCAACATAGAAAAACATAACATGTCTAGGAATTATAGTCATCAAACAGGTTCTCCAAAAATTACAGCTAAATCGAAAGCAGTTAGCAGCTTGAATCATCTTCCACTTCTACCAGGAGCTTTCTTCTTTAACCTTTCGGACTTCTTTTTTTGATCACCTTCAACCAACTTCACAAACCATTTGGGCTTCCCAGTTGTGAAGACAATATATCCCATGGAAACACCAAATATGATTCCACATCCATACCCCATGAACACAACTTTCCAACTGATGAATCCTTTCTCGGCGCCTGAATGGTCTTCTTCGGGCAAGGTTGATGATGGTGGCTGTGTCTCATTGTTGTTGTTGCAAGTTTTTGACAATGGGAAGCCACATAGTCTCAGGTTTCCTTCGAACGAGCCGTTTGAAAATGTATTGAACTGTTTACCAAGAGGGATCCTTCCGGTAAGATGGTTGTGAGAAAGGTTTAAGACGGATAAAAACGTCAAACTTGTTAATTCTTGGGGAATGTCTCCAATCAAATTGTTTGAAGAGAGGTCTAACCATTCAAGATTTCTCAAATTTCCCATGGAAGGTGGAATTAGACCATCGAATCTGTTATGAGAAAGGTTGAGTCCTTTAAGTGAATGAAGTTCTCCAATTACTCCTGGAATATTGCCTTGGAACTCATTGAGAGAAAGATCAATACTTGTGAATATGGTTGAAATTTTCATCACAATTACCAATGATTTCATTGTCACAGTCATTGAATATTCATATGGATTAAATTCTTCCTTCATGTATTGAAAAGAACTGGCACCTTCACTGGCATTCATCATAGCTTTCATTGTTTGGAACAACCTGACTGGCAATGTACCAGTGAAGTCATTGTTGGAGATGTCAAAAATTCTTAAGCTGGAGAAAGAGTGTTCAACCCCGAAATCGGTTATGAAGCCATGAAGCTTATTAGACCTTAAAACAAGAACTTGTAGTTTTGGTAGCATTTCTAACCAAGCAGGATATGTATCATCTATTTTGTTGTTGCCAAGATCCAAAACTTCCAAGTTCTTACATTGGGACAAAGACTGTGGCAATGGCCCTTCCAATTGATTGCCATTCAAGTTGAGATTCCTTAATTCACAGCCCTCTGCAAATCGAGGAGGAATGCTTCCATAAAGCCTGTTCATTCGTAAATTCAACACTCCGAGGCTTTTGCTTAAGTTTCCAAAACATTGTGGAATGGCTCCACTGAAATTGTTATGAGACAAGTCCAGAACCTCAAGATAACTTATATTGCATATCCGAGAAGAAATTTCCCCACTAAAACTATTGTTTGAGGCTACAAAAAAGTTAATGGATTGTGGAATTGGAAGAGCTCCCCGATCAGATTGGAACGGAGATCAAGAAATTGAAAAGTTTTCCAAGGGAGTTGCTCTAAATTTGTCAACAGATTGTGAGAAAGATTTAAGTACTCCAAATAATCGTTTCCCGTATGCAGCATCCATTTGGGAATTCCTCCACGAATTCTATTGTTGGAAAGATCTAATCGGCTCAAATTGTTTGAGCCTTGTAAAAATATTGGGAATTCACTGATATTGCAAGATGAAAAGTACAACTCCTTGAGATTTGGCAGGGTAAAATTGACCCAGATGTTAGAGCTCAAGGAAAGACTGTTGTCTGAAAGGGAAAGGAAACGAAGATTTTGGAGCTTCAGAAACATGTCCAACTGAACAAGACCACTCAAGTTATTTGATGACATATCGAGGCGAGTAAGGTTTACAAGTTCAGATATTGAGCTTGGAATTGGACCTTGGAGCTTATTGTTCTCTAAGGAAATTTCTCTCAACGAATTATGTTGGAATTCATTGATATGACTCATGAGTTGGTTATATCTGAGATTTAGGTACTGCAAGGATGGAAGACTATACACCCAAGATGGTATTGTTCCATTAAGAAGGTTTGCAGATAAGTCTAAATCTATTAAACTCGGAAAAGCTGTGACCTGACTAGGAATGGAACCTACTAATTGGTTTTCTGAAGCATCCAAAACTTCAAGTCGTGTTAGGCTTGCAAGTGAGGATGGAATTTGACCGCTGAATGAGTTATATGAAAGGTCTAGATAAGTAAGAAGTGAAAGTTTGCCCAAAGAACTCGGAATTGAACCCGAAAATTTGCAGAAAGCAAGATCTAAATGCCTTAATGACAATAGATCACCAATCGAATCCGGTAATTGTCCAGAGAATGATGTTATTGGGAGAATCAGATTTTCAAGAGGTCCACTCCAGTTGAACTTTGGAAGATAACCAACGAGGTCAGGATTTCTTTTCAAATTGAGCGACTTGAGATTTGGCAGGCTGAAAATATTATTAGGGAAATTTCCTCGAATACTACAACCAAACAGATTAAGAGATGTCAAAGAAGAAGACAGATTCATCAAGCAGCTAGGATTAACTGATGACATGTTTATTCCATACAGAATAAGCTCTCTAACCTTTGTCAGATTATGAACAATTCCTTCAACAGTTGGATCATCAAGTTCCAGCGTGCGTAGTGGGAAAGGTATTGAAGGATCATCACTAGAAAGATCAAGTGAAACCAATTCTGTCAAGTGGGAGATTTCGTTTGGGACACTTCCAGAAAACCAAGAACGGGAGAGATTAAGATGGCTTAAATTTGCAAACCGACCGAATTCGGATGGAATCCTGGATCTCTGGAAAAAATTAGCTGCTAGATTTAGCCTTTGCAGATGTGAAAGAAGGAAAAGACTGCTGTTGGAAAAGAAGGGGCCCCGAAGCCAGCTGCAACTTAAATCAAGGCCAGTTACATGACCTGTGATTTTATCACAAGTGATCCCATCCCATGAGCAACAGTCTGTACCTTCCTTCCAAGAATTGGTCTTCGGATACGATTTAACAGAGTGAAATTCACAAATCCGAGCAGCAGTCCTGTTGATAGAAAAGCTGTTCTTGAATTGCATCAAAGCAGCAGCTTCTTCATCAGAGCATAAATGTGTTGTTGAAGATAGTAAAGAAGCATGAGAATTCAGGAAAAATAGAAGCCACAGACATGGATAAAACCTTGGGACAAAACCCATATCTCCTTCCAGGGGGGAAAAAATATTGGAGTTAAGGATATACGATGGGTTCAGCATATAAGCAAGCTGTTATTGCAACCAAATTTACCCCCTCCAATTTCGTGCAATCAAGGATTAATGTCTTCACAGAGCCTTTTAGAAGCTCAAAAAATAAAAACCAAGATAAAGGAGCCTTTGACAAATCAAATCCAAAGGAATTGACTGGTAGTGTTTGACCTGTAAAACGCAAGCGAATGTACGTTATGTTTATCTGATCGGTTCCGGTACTGCCACATGAAAGTCTTACTTGGACGGCCTTTTATTTTTTATTTTTTATTTTTTTGGGTATTGTTTGAGAGTTAACGTGTTAACTATGCAGGTAGAGAACGGATCACTTTAGGTTGAAAAAGAATTTGGATATTTTGAGTGTGAATTGCTTTAAATTCCGTCGTTTGGGTTTAACATTTAGATTATTTTGATTTAGAATATTCGGAATCAAATTGATGAATTTTAACCTTAAATTAATTTATTTTTAGATTATTTTAAATTATTTTGATTAAATATTTTGAATTCAAATTAATTCATATTTGAATTTTTTTAGATTTGAATTGGACCGTCGATATTCACACTTAATTTGTGAAATATTATTTGTTTTAATCCAAAAGTTTTACGATATTGTTTCATAAAAAATACCTCACAAATATATGTTTAGATCTCTAGGTATATGTTATATCATGTACTTACATATTTCTAATCCGAGATTGGAGGAATTAAAATTTTATGAAAATTGACACTCAACTCGAAGAATATTATCTACTTTAACCTTAAAGTTATACGATTTTATCTTATAAAATGTACTTGACAAATATACCATATCAAATTCTCATAATATTTCGATGTAAAATTGAGATATCATAAACTTCTCAAGTTAAAACTTGATATTTCCATTAAGCTCAATATAAAACACACAAAGAATCACGTAATTAGGACTATATCAGACGTTGAAATTTTAAAGATGACTTTCACTATTTAGCATTTAGTTCTCTCAAAATTTTATATGTGACTTCTATCATATAATACTTAATTCTCATCTAATTGATAACTGTTTTAATATCACTTGTGAACATTCGTATCTAACCTACAAGTATTAAAAGTACTAATAATCTCAAGTCTTTTAATAACCATGATTTATATTCTGATAGCCTAAGTATTAAAAAAAATTCAAACACAACTTTATCATTTGAAGAGGTGAAAAAAAAAAAAAGAGCAAATTATGCACGCAGTTTGACTCTTACCGAAAGAAAAATAGCTTAATATTCTTGATAAAAATGCACATTATTTTGATTTGTCTAATTATATGTAAATTTGTTGTTTGATTTAATAGTGATTATTTAATATAAATGTAATATTTATCATGATTTTTTTTTATATTTGCAACTTCACAAAAAGAAATGCACATTATTTTGCTTGAATTAAATAAAAAATAAAAAAAATTTATACATAAACAAAGCTGAATTAAGACGAAATTCACCTTAAACCTAATTTCAATCCAACCTCAAATTTTTTTTTAAAGATTTAACTCAACTCAATTCAAAATTTGATTTTTAAAAAAATTAATTTTATAAAATCGGGTCAATTAGACGAAACCAAATATATTTACCATCTTATACGTAAATACAAACAATTAAGTTAAAATTAGCGTTTTGAGAGGTGGTTTTCAACTGCCATCGAATTCAAATCCCAAAAATGTGAAGAAACGTGCGTGGAAATTAACAAGGGTCATTCGAAAAATAAAATTCCACGTTGTGGCACATGGAAGATTTTCCACAACTTGAGTTCCTAAAGTCAGTAATAGTACCGTCATGGCTTTTACTTGGAACCCAAGATTTTGTCCATCTTCAACCAAAAGTGTTGGAAAAAGAAGATTAGAAATTTGTGGACAGTTGAGGAGCAGATGCTTTTCTTTTTCTCTTTTTGGAGGAAATTTGGTCATCCACAACTAAAAAAGAAGGAGATGGATTGACTGGAAACGTTGATAGGAACGTTGGTGGAAAAAAATTCTTCTTCGATTTTGTCAATGGCGTTATGCACTAGTTGTTTGTGTTGACAGCAATTGGTGAATACCAAACTTCTCGTTTTTATTTTAGTTCAATATGAAATTTGTTGTTTTACTTTAACAGATAAATTTTATCATTATAATTTTGTTCATTTGAAATTTGAATGAAAATTAATGAGATAGCGTATGTTTCTATTATTATTATTATTTATGTATTTTTATGAGATTTTATATCGATTTAAATTTGATTAAATAATTAATAAATCAAATTTAAATTTTATTTTATATAAATTTAAATAATTTATGAATATTAATATATTATTTATATTTTTAATTTATAATTAATTTAATTAAAATTTTATCAGATATAAAATTTTTTGTTAATTTTTACATGAGTAAATAACGTAATATTAATTTTTAATTTTAATGATTAAATATAAATCTTTGAAAACCTCGAGAATAAAAAAAGTTACGCAACTATTTTGACTTCTCTAAAACTTAATTATTTATGTTCTGAAAATAAAACATTTTAGAAATTATTAATTCGCCGTAAAAATTAACCAAGGCGAAGTCTTTCAGCTTTGATTTGTCAATGACGTTATGTGCAAGTTGATTATGTTGGCAGAACTTGAACCCAAAAGGGCAAAAAAATAATAATAAAACAAAAGCAAAGACAAAACTGGGATTTGGCCTCATTGGGTTAGAAAGTCTTGGTTTGCCGATAGCACATCGTTATCACAAAGCTAAAGCCTGAATTAAGATTCATAAAAAAAGAAATGGGAAAGCCCGATGATTAATTTAATTAGTTTATGTAATTAATTTTTTGAAAAATTGTTTAATTAATTTAAATTTAACTATCTATAATTTTTTACCTTATTTTTCTTTGTGATCCCAATTTTTCAAAATAAAGAGAAACCAAAAAAATTGAACAGTTTTTTACCTGTTAAAGCTCTTTATTTTTCAATAATTTTATTTAATTTTGATGTTATGCCACATCACCATTTAAAAAAAATTAGAAAATGATATTAAAACACATGTCCTGTCGTTAATCGGTCAAGAAAAATGATTATGTAATATGAACATAATATATTTTTTAATCAAGGAAACGACTTGAAGCTTTGGTTTTTCAACAAAAATGTACGCACTTGCAATACGGTAAACTATTTTATAATTCTAGCTTATGGTGTTCTGAAAGATGGAGAACAAGGAGTCAATATCTCGGAACAAATTTGAACATTTCAGCAAATAGGTACTTTCCGAATACTTTAACCTTTTTAGAAATTCAGGATCATTGACTTGAATTACCCCAGACATGGGGTTTGTTCGTTTCAGATTCTACTGGTCAAACACATTTGTTGACTAATAGATATATCCAACAATTCTCCTTTTTTTGGATGCATTTTCAACTTTTTAAAACTTCCACTGAATAATATGTGACGATAGAATATTGATGTTACAGTCTTAATGAGAGTCAAATGAATGTGACATTTCAAGAAGAGAAATTTCCTAGAAGTCTATAAACACTGCCACTGTAAATGAGAAATCCTGTTCATCCAAAATCTTAAAGAATGAAAATGAGAAATTTCTCGTCAGTCCAGAAGCATTGGATGCATTTCTTCTGCTCCTTTATTTTCATATTCCTATCTGCATGTTTCTCAGCTTTGGAGGCTAGCAATCAATACAACCTCTCGTTGCAGCAACAGAATCGTAGCAATGAAGTGATGGCACTGTTGGTTTTCAAGCAAAAATCTGTTGATGCTGATCCTGAAGGTTTCCTGAACGATTGGAGATCAGAATCTTTAAGTCCATGTTCACGGCGAGGTGTTTTCTGTTCTACTTATGGAAAAGTTAGCATGCTCAATTTCACTTATGCGGGTCTAATTGGTCATTTGCATATGGATGATCTCATAGTCCTGGAAAGTCTCCAACATCTCCATTTGAGTGGAAATTCATTCTTTGGTAATCTCTTCCTCAACAAGGCTTCTTATCCTTCCTGCATTATTGAGACACTTGATTTGTCATTCAATAATTTATCAGAGCCAATTTCTGAAACTTTTTTAGATTCCTGTGACCATTTGGCTTCTTTAAACCTTTCACATAACTCTATCCCAGGAGGTAGTTTCAACTTTGGAACTTCTCTTGTAGAGCTTGATCTCTCAAGCAATCTGATTTCAGATTCCTCAATATTGGATTACTCTCTTTCAAGTTGTCAGAATGTGAAACTGTTGAATCTCTCTCATAACAAAATGTCTGGGAAATTGGGTAACCTCTCGTCTTGCGAGAATCTATCGGTTTTGGACCTGTCTTATAACATGTTGTCTGGAGATATCCCTGCTGTTCTTTTTTCTGATTTCTCCAGGTCCCTTAAGGCTTTGGACCTTTCCCAAAACAACTTATCTGGTAATTTCCCAATTCTTGAATTCAAGAACTGTGATAAGCTTATGACTCTTAACTTGTCTAATAATTCTCTTTATGGCATTGGAATTCCTCAAAGCTTGGCTAACTGTCAGCTTCTTGAGAACCTTGATGTCTCCCATAACAGCCTGCATGATAAAATTCCAGCTGCTTTGGGAAATTTGGGAAATTTGAAGCACCTGAATTTAGCTCACAACAACCTTTCTGGTAATATCCCCTCAGAATTGGGTTTGACTTGTGGGACTCTAGTAGAGTTTGACCTTTCAGGAAACAATCTTTCAGGGGGATTTCCTGAGACAAGGCTCAACCTTGGAAACAATCAGCTTTCAGGAAATTTCCTCTCTGAAGTTATTAGTACTCTTCCTAGTCTGCAAATCCTCCAAGTACCATTCAACAACATCAGTGGTTCCATTCCTTTTTCTCTAAGAAACTGTGCTCAGCTTCAAGTCCTCGACCTTAGTTCCAATGCCTTCACTGGAAACATACCCTCAGGACTTTGCTCAACCTTTCCTTCCTCCCTACAACGACTACTCCTTGCAGACAATTTTCTATCAGGAACAATACCTTCAGATATTGGCAATTGTAAAAACTTGAAGACAATTAATTTTGCACGTAACCACCTAAGTGGATCTATTCCATCAAAAGTGTGGAAGCTACCAAATGTTTATGACTTTGTTATGTGGGGAAACAACTTCACTGGTGAAATTCCGAATGACATATGCTTTGGCACTCGGAACTTGCAGAAGCTTATTCTCAGCAACAATCTCTTCAGTGGAAAAATTCCAGTATCACTCACTAAATGTGCAAATCTTTCTTGGTTGTCGCTTTCGTTTAATCAATTAACTGGAACTATCCCTGCAGCTATTCGGAACCTTCAGAAACTCAGTATTCTGCAGTTAAGTTATAACTCATTTTTTGGTGATATCCAAACCGCTGATCTTGGTAGTTTCCCGAATCTCATATGGCTTGATTTGAGTAGCAATCAATTTGCAGGTCATATTCCATCAAATCTTGCCCCCCAAACACGCTTCGATCCCATATTTAGTTCAAAAGGGGGGTATTTGTTTTTGAGAGACAGAGGGAGAAGTGATTGTAGAATGAGGAATAGTTTGATTTATTCTGAGGGAATCAGTGAAGAAAGGTTGGCAGAAAGTTTTGATTCGAATTCTTGTTCATCAATAACAATATATAGTTGGCCAAGTCACTTGATAAAAAGAAGTAATGGCACTATTGTATTTTTGGATCTTTCTTTCAATCATCTTTCTGGAACTATTCCTGACAGCTTGGGTTTAATGTCTGATTTGCACGTTTTAGATTTGTCACACAACAGATTAACTGGAACTATTCCAAATACATTTGGGGGCTTGAAAGAAGTTTGCTTGCTTAATTTGTCTTATAATTCTCTTCAAGACAGGATTCCAGGATCATTGGGGCTAATCTCATTTCTCACAGACTTGGACGTCTCGAATAATAACCTCAGCGGTCCTATACCTTCAACAGGTCAACTCACTACATTTCCAGCATCCAGATATGAAAATAATAGCGGCCTATGCGGAATCCCATTGCCCCCTTGTGGCTATCATCCCAAAACAGACCCCATACAGTCTGACCAATCTCAAAATGGAAAAGACCACTCCATACTGAGAAATGTTGATTGGATATGGGTTATTGCTGTCATTGGATATATTGTTGGTGTAGCAATTGGAGTTTGTATTGGAAATATTATGTTTCAAGACAAAGAGGAATGGTTGGTCAAGACAAAGCTTATGATCATCTCAAAATGCAAAAGAACCAAAAAAACGCTGTAGGATAATAGACAGAAACATCCATTACGTAAGGGAAGTTTATAAACTAGGATTTTCGAGGGAATTTCCTGCTGTTCAAGAGTCCAACATATTCACAGGTAAGTCATCTTTCTTACACTGATCCAAATATAGTTAAATATCAAACAATTTGTTAGACAGGTAAATACTCTTTGACATTTACTAATTATCGACATATATATGGTTTTCTAGGCTTGGTTGTGCTCTTCGTCCTCTTGGAAGGTTGTCTAGAGTTTGACTGTGGAATGTGATCTACGTTTGGCACCAAAGTGATCACACCTCCTTCCACCATGTTTGCTGCAGGCTGCTGCTGTGCAGTGAAAGTAATGAATGAAGTTAATCAATAAAACAGAACTTTGTTGCATCAAGCAGATCACAGATTGATGATTATTTTTCTTTACATGTGTATAATCTTGATCTGATGTAAAGAGAACTTGAGAAGTCATGACTCATGAGAACTTATAGTGTTCTGCATGCAGATGGTTGAAAAGCTAAGTTCATCCCCAAATTATCATCATCTCATAAGCCATTTGAAATTCAGTTTTTGCATATTTTGATTAGATCAACATTTCAGTATAAACTTCACAGGATACTTTCTTCAATTTTCAAGTCTGGAAGATTAGGAGTAAAAAAGAAATGAAAGTTTCCGGGCTTTCAAGTTCTGTCCGAGAACAATGATTCAAGTAGATTAATTCTTGCATTTGAATTATATTTTTGAGGCATGTAAATCAGCACCGGTTAGCTGCCTAAAAAATGTGAGGAGGGTTGATCCTCAAAAAATTAGAAATTAATGGTTTCATCTGTCCACTTCTGATTAAGTTACCAGTATCCAAAAAAATTAGACAAATTCAAAGGATTTGACAACATTAATCCCTCATTTCTCATGCTAATGAAAAATCTCCAACATTATTAATTACCTGCCTGAGAAATATCTTCAAAGTCTACTACTTCAACACCATGGAGTGAAGTATCAAAAAGGGCATACTATTTTGAAGAAAAATCAAAATCCTCTTAATTGGTTCTGCTGGCATTTTTTTTTTCTGGGTAAATACTCTTCTTCTAGGATTTTACTTCCAATCCCAGTAATCTCAAGTATAAAAATTTCATATTTTTAGTTATTTACCATTCCTTTTTTTGGGATATAATCAATGTAGCAATTTGTGTCTTGTAAGATTAAGCATAATTGTAACAGATCTGCTGCCGTAGAAAAATATGCTAAACGTGTTTAATTAGATGAAATTTTTTAATTAGATCTTGCTACTTTGAAATTCGTATTTTTCTTGATAGTCTAAGGATTGGTTTACTTTTGGGTATGCTTCGTTTGCTCTGTTTTTCTTGTTTTGACACATTTGACATGATGTTAGAATCTTGTTCAAATATGTTTCACTGATATCAATCCGGATTTGGATGCTTCAGTGGCATTTAGAGCATTCCAAAACTTAGAGATCCAACTGCAAAAAAGACAAGTATCTAATACAAGATTCTTTGTTATTTTTTCTTCTATTTTTTGTTTGAAATTTGCCATAGGTGGCTCAAAATTCTTGATTAAAATCGTTAGGCTATAAAGAACCGAACGCCTTGCGGCTTAGGGATTTTTTCAACAAGCACTTACAAAATCTTTTTTTTTTTTTCCAATGAGGAATCAAATTTCTTGGGTACAAAAGATTTAGTATAATGAGATTTTAAAAAAAAAAAAAATTTCATTCTACCCTTGCTATAATTTTTAAAATTATAAGGAGATTATGTTTTTCCACATTCATTTTTATTTGGAGCAATTAATTTTCTTGTTTCCATTTTTTATATTTCATTAATAAATAATATTTTATTTATTTCATTTTATAAAATTGAGTGTTTTATTTTTATATTTATTAAAAATAAATTGAAACATTATCAAATAGTTTTCTACATCTTTTAGGCACTTTACAACATTTATGTCTTAAAACTTTCAAATGTTTATCTTAATTTCTCTTTATAATAACTTCAAAGTATTGTTTTACAACATTTTCTAGAAAGGCTCTAGTCGAGATCCAAACAATCCCTTAAATAATTTTAGTCTAAAAGTCATCAAAGCTGTTTCTAAGAAATTGTTGAGGTTACTGCATGGTTTCGATGTACGGACATATGATGTTACCAATTCTTAGTTGTTATCAACATGTTGGCTTCCGTGGAAGACTTGTCTACCTTGATTTGACGCCAAATCCTTTTTGCCACTATTAGAAAAAGTAGTTCTTAAATCCAATTTTTTTTGTAAAAAAGGCATCGAAGTTATTTCCAAGAAATTGATGATGTATATCTGATAATTGGATATGAAAATATTATAAATTAAAATTTTGGTTAAAAAAATATTGATGAGTTTGGAAAAAAATTAAAAATTATATATTATATTTAAATGTATAAACATAAATCATAAAATAATAATTTTTATATTTTATATGTACTTAATATAAACTAATATAAATATATAAATTATCATATTCAAAAATATTTCACGTGAGGTGAGGTCATGAAACCCCATAAATTCTTGATTGATATCATTGGTTATATTTGTCTAGCTTGACTTGACTAGCCAAACCCACAATTAGAAGAAATTATATTTGTCTACCTTGACTTGACTAACCAAACCCACAATTAGAAGAAATTGCAATAAACTCTTCCAAAGCCATTTCCTTCTTTAAATTTTGCAGTATTCTTTATTTGTCTTGCTCCTCCTTTTCCCTTTTGAAGCATCAATATGGAGAAACCTTTCACCATAATAATTATTACAACTCTGGTCATTTTCATTCAATATTATTCTACTACTGTTTGTTTCTCCGAGCAGGTTACTAGTCTCACCGACGAGGAAGCTCTTCTTGCCTTGAAAGCTCATATAATTCTTGATCCTCAGAACATTTTGGCCAAAAACTGGTCAAATTCAGTTTCATTTTGTAATTGGTTTGGTGTTTACTGCAGCTCTAGGCACAAACGAGTCAGAGCCTTGACTCTTCCTGGAATGAGTCTCAATGGCACCCTCCCTCCACATCTAGGAAACCTTTCTTTCCTCACGACCTTAGACCTCCAAAACAATAATTTCCATGGTAATCTGCCCCCTGAGTTGGCCAATCTGCGCCGTCTGAAATCTATGATTTTGATAAATAACTATTTCACCGGAGGCATTCCCGAACAAATAGGCTATCTTCCACGGCTGGAGAAACTGTTTTTGGGAGGCAATTCTCTTTCAGGTTCCATACCATTGACGGTCTTCAACATGTCTTCGTTGCAAAGGATTCTTTTAGCTACTAATAACTTGGAAGGAAGTGTTCCCGGGGATTTGTGTGATCATCTTCCTTTACTTCAAGTGCTTGAGATTTCTTTCAACAATTTATCTGGAAAAATTTCGCCAAATCTGCAAAGATGTAGGCTGCTTCAGATCCTTGGATTATCAAACAATAGATTCACAGGAAGCATACCTAGAGAACTTGGCAACTTGACAATGCTTAAGGAGTTGTATCTTGGTTTTAACAACTTGGAAGGTATCATTTTTTACCCATCTATTTTTTGATAAATTAGATAGATCACTTAATTTTTTAAAAATTTTATTTAAATCATCCACTAAACTTTGAAAATTCATGATCTATTGCACTAATGTTTATGAAATTTAACATTTTTGTTACTCAGTCATAAAAAGCTAAAGGCTAGGTGACGTGGTACATTTACCACGTAGCATTATTGATGACATGACCTCATAAAATCTTTAAAAATAAATAAATAAATTTTAGATATTAAAAAAAAAGGAAAAATAAGGTAATTGAATCGTAATTTTTTAAAATAAATTAGTGACTAGAATAAAAACTTTCAAAATTTTAACTAAACGTGTAATTTACTCTTGTCCTAAACTAATTGGAGACCTTCATATCTGATTTTATGATTTTATATCCAAAATGATAAATATATATATATATATGTATCCCTCACTCAAATAACTTGGAAAATATATATATATATATATATATGTATTACAACAAAAAATATCTTATATTTCTTGTGGTCCATGCTTATTCAACCTTGGCTAGCTAGTCATTATTAAAATATTTTATTTTAATTTTAATTTAAAATATTGATATTTTATTTTTATAAATATATTTTTTAAAAATTTTGAATCTTTTAGACGCGACAGCTTGGACTTTGATCAAAATTTTAACAGGTTAATCAAACTTAATCCAACCGACCTTAATACACACCTCTATTATCTTAAAAAAAATAAAAATCTCACCTCTAACAGATGCTTAATAATGGTTAAAAATTTCACATATTTCCCGAAATTGATAAACACTACCAAAAGCTGCTTTATTTACTTAACACTATTGCAGCTTATACCTTAATACCAAAGCTTCTGATTCTTACTATTTTCAAGAATAATTTGAGCTTAATTATAATATATATAGCAAAAATAATACCAATAATCAAATGGAGTGAGTCTAATTAATTTGAATTTGCAGAAGAACAAAGTCACTGTTGTGATAATTAAATTTTGCAGGTGAAATCCCATGGGAGCTGAGCAGACTTGTTGGTTTAGAGAGATTTGCTGTTGAGAACAGTGGGCTGACAGGACGTCTTCCATTAGAAATGTTCAACATCTCTTCCTTGAAAGACTTTGTGGTGATGAACAATAGCCTATCAGGCAGCGTGCCAGCGGACCTCTGTCACCGTCTCCCTAATCTGGAAAAGGTTTTCTTCTATGACAACAAGCTCGATGGAGCTTTTCCTAGAGACATCGGCAATTGTACGTTGCTTAAGCAACTTCGGCTCGGCAGGAACAACTTCACTGGTAAGGTTTATGTTACAATTGATCAATTGATAGATTCAGACGTAAATATATCTCATAAAATCTTTTAAACTTTATTCCTTCTACATTAAATAATCTTATATGACATAGAAAGCTAATTTAGTATTACTGTTGCGATTATAAAAAGTTTGAATTGAAAAAAATGTATTTAAAAAGTTCCGTGAATAATTGAAATATTTAATAGGATATGCATCAAAATAATAAAATATTAAAAAAATAAAAATAATACAGTGATTCTCTATCCAAATTATACGTTTTCACTGCAAGAACAGTTTCTTTTGTTTGGGTTTGCAAACCATGTCTTTAAACTGAAAATTTATATTTTTTATTATTTAGCATTAAAGTAGAATTAAAAGCAGCTTTTGAACGCAAAAGTTGCCTTCGATAATAATGCTAAACTAGCCGGAAGTAATGCTGAAATAATGAAAATATATTCTTGTCAGCAAAGTTCTGCTAGTAGAGTTTTAATTGGTTGATCACTGATTAGAGTTATAACATCTACGTCCACATGTATTTGTTGTGCTACTCTTTGGCCAGGCATAGTACCACAGGAGATAGGTAATCTTAAGCATCTTGAGATATTGAGATTGGCAATCAACAGTCTAACAGGCCCGATACCATCAAGAATCTTCAACATGTCGACACTGAAAGAACTTTCATTGGCTGCAAATTACTTTTCGGGCAATCTTCCATCTGATATAGGCCCAGGCCTTCCAAATCTTGAAGAACTAATGGTTGGGGGCAATGAACTCAGTGGACGCATCCCTGATTCGATCAGCAATGCTTCCAAGGTTGCTTTCCTAGAATTAAGTGAGAACCTTTTCACCGGTACCATACCCAAGTCCTTGGGTAATTTAGAATATCTTTTGCTGGCTTGGCCTGGTAGATAATCATTTCATCAGTGATCCATCCACTCCAGAATTGAGTTTTATCACATCATTGACAAATTGCAGGCATCTAAGGACTTTGGGAATAGCACAGAATCCCCTAGTTGGAGTATTCCCACCTTCTATTGCAAATCTATCAACTTCTCTCGAGATTTTTGAGGCCTCTGATTGCAAAATCTTTGGTAAAATACCCAGTGGAATTAGCAGGTTAAGCAGCTTGTTCGCATTGAACCTAAACAACAATGAATTGACAGGATCAATCTCAAATATATTCCAGAATTGGACAAACCTGCAAAGATTGTATCTTGGTGGCAATATGTTAGAGGGAACAATACCAGATGAGCTATGTCAGCTGAGGAACTTGGGTGAATTGTTTCTGCCTGGTAATAGATTTTCTGGACCAATACCAAGATGCTTTGACAATCTTACTTCCCTTAGAATTCTGTTGCTAAACTCTAACAATTTGTCTTCAACAATACCCTCCACCCTTTGGAATCTTAAAGACCTCTTGGTTTTGAATCTTTCTTCAAATTCATTAACTGGCTCTGTAGCTCCAGAGTCGGGGAATTTGAAGGTCTTAACACAAATAGACCTGTCCAAGAATCAGTTAGTTGGTGACATCCCAGCCAAAGTTGGTGATCTCAAAGACTTAACCAGTCTTTCTCTGGCACACAATAATTTGCAAGGTTCTATTCCTGAATCCTTGAGCAATCTTCTGAGTATAGAATTCTTAGATCTATCCAGCAATAATCTCTCTGGAGTCATTCCCAAGTCCTTGGAGAGGCTTTCCTTTCTCAAATATTTGAATGTGTCTTTTAATAAACTGGGAGGAGAAATCCCTAATGGGGGACCTTTTGGAAACTTTGCAGCTACATCATTTATGAACAATTATGCACTTTGCGGTTCACCTCGACTGCTAGTCCCTCCTTGCAATTCCAGCAGCTCCAGACGATCCAAGACAACCGCTATGCATGTATTGAGATATGTTCTTCCAACAATCTCTTCAATAATATTGATAGCAGCCCTGTTTATTGTCTTCAAAAGATATCGAAATAAGAAAACAAATCTGCCAGTGAATCTTCCAGTGACAGAAGATCATTCATTACCTTTGGCAACATGGAGAAGAATATCGTACTACGAACTTTTACAAGCAACAGATAGATTTAGTGAATCCAACTTAATTGGTTCAGGGAGTTTTGGCACTGTGTATAGGGGGACACTTCAAGATGAGACGACTGTTGCCATAAAAGTCTTCAATTTGCAGTTAGAGGGAGCATTTAGAAGCTTTGATGTTGAATGTGAAGTAATGCGCAATATTCGCCATCGAAATCTTGTGAAGATCATAAGCAGTTGTTGTAATATTGACTTCAAAGCCTTGGTGCTGGAATTCATGCCAAATGGAAGCCTTGAAAAATGGTTGTATTCTCCGGAGTGTTTTCTTGACATCACACAGAGGTTAAACATAATGATCGAAGTCGCATCAGCACTAGAATATCTCCATTGTGGAAATCCAACACGTGTGATCCACTGTGACTTAAAGCCAAGTAATGTCTTGCTTGACAAAGACATGGTTGCTCGTGTGTGCGATTTTGGCATAGCCAAACTTTTGGGAGAAGGGATTTCTGTGACACAAACCATGACACTTGCTACTATAGGCTACATGGCACCAGGTGATGTTTCGAATATTCTAATTAATTCATTATTTCAAAAATAATAATGTCAGGAATGGTCATTAAACTATAATGAAATATTTAATGTTCTAATTTGATACTTAAACTATAAATCTGTTAATTAATATAATATTTTAAAGACAGTTTATCAATCATGTGTCATCATTTGAAGCTAATCATGGTAGAAATAAGTATCATATTAGTTAACAGATTCATAGTTCAGATATTACATTAGAGATCTTTAAAATTCATGTATCACATTCGAAACATTAACCCTATCAAAAAAATATTTTCTTAGATCCCTGTAGGAGCATAAGGATTTTAGTGTTTGATTGCAAATTAGTTTTTAAGCATTTAATCTCCATGTCGATATACTTGTTTAGTAATTCAGTTGTAGTTAATTCACAGAATATGGATCAACTGGAGTTGTTTCAACAAAAGGAGATGTTTACAATTATGGTATTCTGGTGATGGAAACATTTACGGGGAGGAAGCCTACAAATGAAATGTTTGCTGGAGAAATGAACCTGAAATGTTGGGTGAAAGAATCTTTGCCTGATGCAATAACAGAAGTAGCAGATGCTTATTTGTTGGAAAAAGATGAGGACAATTTCATGGCTAAAACCAGTTGCATATCATCTGTTATGCAGTTGGCTCTAGATTGTTGTGCAGAATCACCAGCAGAGAGGAAAGATATGAAGGATGTCGTGGTAAGCCTTAAAAAGATCAAAGATAAGTTTCTAAAGGATACTGGACGAGCCTAATCTCCTTATTTTGTAAATTTTGATAAGAACTTGAGAAAGTTGTTGTGTTTTCGTTATGGTTTCGAAGCTGCGGGCCATAGCCAAATATGTTGGCAATATTGATTTAAATTTTGAAGAGATAATTAGTTTGATATTTTTCGTGATTGATTAACTGTTGCTCAATGGATATCAAGATTTGAGAGGCACAAATTTTATGGGAAAAGCATTTTTTCACTAGATATATTTTAAAGTCATGTTTAATTCATAAGATTATAACAAAATAAGATAAAAGAATATTATGAATAAAATTAAATTAAATAATATTATTTTATTTTATATTTGATATATGTAAAAATTAAAATAAAATAATTTATTTATTTATCAAAACTATTCTTCTTCAAAATTTATGCAACTTAAATTATTAATTTAATTTTTAAATGGTAATTGAACATGTAAATTTAATCTCATAAATTAAAATTAATCATCTCCACTTAAAGAGAATTGAATAATCTTATATCATAAGGATATTAATTTCCTTTACAATTAATATTCCTCTTTTTAAATACAAATAAAATATAATATAAATTAATTATCGTATCTTATCAATAATTCTATACATCAAGATCATATTACTTGTATGTTTATTTTCATAGTTTAAATTGATTTATTGTGTTATGTCATTATATGTATTCTAGAGTCATTTGAATTTCATAGAAGTTATAATTTTATGATTAATCTAAAATTTAAACATTAAAATTGCAAATTAAATTGCTGTAATTCATTAGGTTTTCTTTTAAATATGTAATTTATTAAGTCTATATTCTATATTTATAAGTATTTCAATTCGCAAGTTAAAGCTCCATTGCATTGCTCTTGAAAGACATATTTTACGATTGGAATATTACAACGCAGAGATATTCCTAATAAAATAATGAAGTTAGACATCATCCCATAAAATTTTGAAAAGATCAAAATCAAATTGCTCTTGTTTTTCTCTATAATATGGCAAAGATCATCATCAGCTTGATAGGCAGAGCTACCAATAACCAATATCGCATAATAAACCAATTGTGACAAATTTATTTGGTTATATTGGAAACCAAAAAAGAAAAAGAAAAATTAACCAAACTAAGAAATCATAACACTCGAGTATGGGTCGCAACTCTTTTGTTTGCTAAAACCATTTATGTCAAGCTCACCAGCATACTACCAAAACTGCAACAGCTGCTAAAATTGATGGTTGAACCAACATGACAAGCAGGTAGTGGATTTTTCACCCCACATTTTCCATTGATTAAACAGCATTGGCTGAATTTTGCTAAGTGGAAAAGGGGAAATGGGGGGCCATATTCCCCAATGATTTTGGATGAACCTCATGCCAACAGACCATGAAGTCAAGAACCCTATAGGCTGTAGCCCCAATCTAAATTTCAAGAGTTTCATTAGCAAAAGTCATTGTGGTCTGGTCCACAACAATTGTCCTCGTCTCGAATGTGCTACTTTCTTTAAAACACTAACCAAACAAATCTGTTGGGAATTAGGCCCCCCCCAATATGTCAATAGAACAAGAAAGTAAAGTACTGAAAATAATCAAATAAAAAACCAAAAGAAGTGGACTTTGATATTGGAGCATGACAACATGATAATGTCAAGTATGTACAAAAGGAAATGGTAATAAAAGTCCAAGCTATCCTGATTTTCACAAAAAAGGTTTGGCCATTGAGAAACAGTAGAATTGACCAGTCATTGAGGCATTTCTTCCAATGGCAAACCTAACTTAAAGACAAGACAACAATCATACAAGTATGACAGTTCTTTTCAGCAAAATTAAGATTTAAATCTAGGTCTGGTCGCGAGGCTATGAAACCACCTCGGGAAGAACTAACTATATATATATTTTGGAAGCAAATTTTCAAAAATTAAATAAAAACTAAAACAAGAAAGCAACTGCTCATGCTCACCTTGATCCCTTTTTGTTCCTTATGTCTGGGAGCATAGATATGGAATCAAGTTCATAATACGAGGACACCAGAACTTTTTCACACAGATAGCCCTATCTGCAGGACAATGTGACACAAGTAAAAATGTAGTGGGCATAAGCTATCTATTCAATATGCTTACAAACTCACCTAGTCCTGGAACTGCCAAGAGTGAGCTCTAGGTCATCTGATCCACATTCTTCATGAATCCTCTCTCCTTCCCATGGCTTTACTAGCCCTGTTGCATTGCTTCCAAAAGCAAACTCATCTGAAATAACTTCAGACATTGGAACATCAGCGGTATGATCTAATCCAGCAGCTATTGCAGGAGAGCATGTCCCGCTTTGCCCCGGAGTCCACATGTGGGATCCCCCACTAGCTAAAACTTCCTCCTTGAAGCCAAAGGGGTTTGAGGAGACGAGACTAAATGTAGGAGAAGTTGGCCCACTATAAGGGATTCGGAGCCCAGCAAACCATTCTGGATCAGGAACAATCTGACGACCAGGGCTAGGTGGAGTTGAAGAAGGCAGGAAAGAATGCTGTTGTGCACTCCAACCTGGAAGAGCTGACTGGTCCTCCCAGTCAGCTTTGATTCGTGGGGTTCGGGCAGTTGGTGAGCTCAATGGAGGGGTGACAGGAGCACTGATGGAACCACCATGAATATATATATGGGGAAGCTTGGAAGAGGATGCTGATGAGGATGCAGATGATAGGTTTTTGAGCCATGGGAGAAGAGAATTCCCATCACCATTGGGATTAACCACATATGAAGATGAAGCTGGGCTTGGAAAGGAGGATGACGCAGGGCTTGGGTTGTAAGAAGCACGAGGGCTTGGGTGGTAAGATGAACAGGGGCTCACTGTTGCAGATCCACCTACTATATCCATGCGCTCCACAGGTTTGCAACCCTGTGGAAATTAGATAGTTATCAGTACCCTAAAAGCACATGCAACAGATCAAATACCCAATACTGCAAGCCTAGCATCCTCAATTCTGGAAATAAGAAATTTAAACAAATAGCAGCTCAGAAACCAAAACTCATTCCATCATTTGATTACACATGTAATTTGAGTTCTTATGAATGTCATTTATTCCAACAAACTAGAACATCATTATGATAGCCTGCTCATTTTTCTTTTCCATGTCAATAATCTTATATTCCGATCCACCTAAATCATTTCAACTTTGAATATCTTTAGTTGAATTGAGCTTGATACTTGCGTTATAGTACACATGGTTATTCCATCACTCCACATATCAGACAATATCTCCCCAAAAACCTCATCTCAGACACATCTCATCTCTCATTGCTCTGAAGGAAAAAAACGTACTTATTTAGAAATACTTTGACAAATTTATCCTCAATTTGCTTAGGACAAAAATCCTCAACTGTTTTATACATGATAATAACATCAACTTCTCCGTTCTAAGCTGCAGTCTAAGAAATAGTCCACCTGATTCAAGACTGGCATTAAACAGGAAAACTTCTATACAATAGTAGACCTTATTTATTAACCATATAGTCTTTGCTTGGTTGAGTAATCAAGCTTAGAACATCAAAACAAGCTAAAATGTGTTGATAAATTGACATAAAGGTGGTAGTTAATACAGTCAAGCAACCCAAGAAAAAAAGGCTGGCTGGATCACCCCTCAGGTTGCCAGCTAAATCACCTACAAACTCCTAACCTAGCACGTGAGTACCTATAAGTTTTTTCTCTTTCCCTCTTATCTTAAAATGGTTCAAGTCAAGAAATCATCTCAAAGAAACTTGCTGCCCCCCCCTCCCATAGTTAAAGATAGTATCTAATTTCTCTGAGAAGACTGAGTTTTGACTCCGCACGAAACTTTCCCATTTAAACAACCTAATTAAAATCTTCCCTGTAGCTACAGATCAACTAAATTGACTCATTATTAGGAGATCGTTAATGGGTGTTACTATGTTCTTACTCAATTTAATTTTGCTAAATCTTGAATCATAAATGAGCAACCAGAAAGGCCAAATTAACCTTCCTAGTGACTCAAACTTACCCGTAACAATTGAACTCCAATCCCAGAAAATTAAAAAAAAAAAAACCAAAAAATGAAAAACCCATCATGAGCAACCGAAAATGAAAGTTGTCCCAAAGTGGGAAACTGTGTAAAATCCCTGTAAAAGGATCCTTGTTTGTTACCTAGCAATTACAAAAGTCCAAAAAAAAATATGAGCTTACTATAAAATTCAAATGATGCCAAAATTACCCTCATCAATCATCATTTTAACAAGGGTGGTTGGGTCTTTTTATTGAGAACTTTGCCAAGTTGTGTATTTTGATTTTGATGATCAGTCCCATGTTCTCTCATATGCAATTCAACCAGTTCACATTGTCATCAAAGAAAGAGAAGAATCTTTCTTTGGTGCTTCACGGCTCACGCGTTGGCTAAAGTGAAGAGTTAAAAATAGTTATATAAAAATAAAAAGAGGGCTGACGAGATCTAAACGTACAATGGGTGAAGACTAAAATGACACTTCTGACCAGATCTAACGTACAAAAAAAAAAAGTAGTACTTCAAAAATTACCAAAAAATAATAATAATAAAAGCAGTGAAAAGAATCTAAACACCATTTCATCAGCTGAAAGATAAAAAAAACTAATGCTGCTAACGTGCGCCGGTATGAGCCGTGCATGTTAGCACCAGATCTTCTTGATGGTCCGATGTCAACATTAGCCCGCCGGAATCGGCGTATGCTAGCACCACGACTGCACTACCGTAGACTAACATGTACCGCAAAAGCGGCACAATTTAGCACACAGGCAGCGATTTTATTTGATTTCCTATTTCTTATGATGATTAATTTATTATTACTGCAATAACAAAACGACGATCTTCGTCGCGGTAATAAAACTATGATCTTCGTCGCGCTAAAATACGCCAGAGAAAGAAATCAATAGAAAAAGTAAATTTTTAAATCATTACGATCTTCGTAGAGCTAAAATACACCTGAAAAAAAAATTTTCCGTTGCTTCCGATTTTTCAAAAATTGCAAATAAAAATAAATCAAACTGACTTTAAAAGAACTAAAAACAAACGAAAATTTCAGTGATTTTTCTTTTCCAAACAAAAAACTGTTCCATCTGCATTATCTTCATTATTTTCTACTCAGAAGTAATCAATTAAAAAACTAAGAGAAAAAGGTTCTGGTGAGGATAGTAATTTACCTTACGATAAGTAGTGCCATCGGGTTCGACAGTCCAGCCGGCTTCGTTACAAACAGCTTTGAGAACTTCGTTGTTATCGCAGTGCTTCGGAAGCTTATAGTTACCATACATCCGAAGTCCGGAGAAGATCTTCGCCGCTATTGCTCTCCTCCGCCGCTCTCTACGCTTGTTGTTTTCTCTTTCTTTCCATGTCGGCAGCCTCGTCCCCGATGTCATTTCAAAGCAAAGAAAAAACGGACGCAAGATTTGTTGAATTTATAGCAAATTTTATTGTTTGGTTAAAAAGAAAAGGAAAATAAAAAAATTGAATAGGATTTGAGTAAAAATTAATGAAAAAAAACAAAAAATAATTGGGCTTGTGGTGAATTATGGGGGAGATGAGCTAAAACTGATGAAATTTACGCTGCAAAGGTAAGTGATCGGAGAAGGACTCTTTCGTTTCTAAAGGCTTTAGATCGACGACTAGAGATTTAAACGACAGCGTTGATGAGATTTCGTTGGAGATTGATTAAGATCGGTGGATTAATGGGGACGGAAACCGACTGGGAAACAGGGAATGGTTTTGGGCTTGGGTTGTTAAAGTTGAAAAACCGGGAAGAAGAAAAATAAGACTTGAATAAGAAGCTTAGTGCTTGTAAATTAACATGGATTTGCGAGGTGGTCAGCCAAAACTGCACTGATTATATCTCATTGCCCCTGGTCTTCTTTGATTTAACAAGTTTGCCACAATAATTTATATTTCCACCCATTTTATATAGTAGAATTAATAATTGATATTTCCACTCACTTTTTATATAGTAGAACTAAGTCGTTGGTGGTTTTATTATTTGTTAGTGTTCTCTCTCGCTCTTTACTCGGACAGAAGCGTCGATTAATAATTCGTAATAAACTAGATTTTTATTTATTTATATTATTTATTAAATTTATTAAATTTAATTATTTTTTAATTAAATAAATAAATTATAATATTTAAAATTTAATAAATAAAATATTTGATAAATAATTTTAAAATAAAATTTTCAATATTTATTTTTTAAAAATTATTTTTAAATTTTTTATTTTACTATTTAATTTAAAAAAATATTACACAATACATCTTCTCAAACTTACGATCTTTAATTATCAATTAATCCAAAATTCGATATTCATTAATTTTACAAAGATGCCGATATAACAAAATTCGCACTCTATTCATGTACCTCTTAATTTATGCATGACTAAAGTGTGATGTTAGATCGCCACGTGGCTACTGTCTGCGGTATCGATTCAGTAACGGACCCTGTCGATGACTATCCAATAAGAAATGAAGGTAATATCCCACGTGTCAAAGTTCGGCGCACGTGCGAGATCCCTTCCCCAAACACACTCAAAATAAATAATTAATTAATTAAATGGTCTTTGTGTCCCCATGTGTGCGTGTCCAGCAAAAGATGATGCGGACCCGAGGGCCCTTTCCATTCCTTGCTCCCTTTAACGTGACCATGCAGCTTAGCGTGACGAGGTGGGCCCAGTCGGTGCATCCTTTGGCATCACGCTCTTCTGATGGGGCGTGTCCTGCAAGCATTTTCCTTTCACGGAATTATTAGTAAAAAGAAATTTTTTTCTTTTTTTTTTTTTTGTACTTTTAAACGAATAAACCTTTTAGTTGGAAGAGACGAGAAGAAAACGATTGGTCAAAAGTCCAATTTATGTTGGTGTTCTTGTGACTTGTATTAGCTTTTCTTTTTTTTTTTTACAATTTTAATTTTTACACGTTGCTTGGAAAAAATTTTAAAAATAAAATTAAATCAAATATAAAACTATAAAAGGATATTAAACTTGTAAAAATTAAACAAATTCATTATTTTGACAATATGTTTTTTAAACATTATTCCATTATTTTCTTAATTTAAATAACATTGAGACGTTAATTTGTTTTATTTCTTATATTTGAACTTAAATTTATTAAATATCACTTCTAAAAATTATTATTGTATGAATTAAATCTCCAGTTTATTTGTAGCAATCTGAAGCTGAAGGACACTATTTTCCTCATCTAAATGTCATTGCCAATTATTTGTCAACCATGAAAAAGTTGCTTCTTTAATGGGAGCAAAAATGATGTAGATGAGGTAATTACCAAATTATGAGTTCCAAAAGCGAAGCTTCAGCTTTACCTTGACAAAAAGGTAAGTAAAAACTTAGGATAAAACCCAAGCCATCAAATCCTCTCTTCTCAAGTACTGTTGGCAAAGATATTCATAATTTAACATAAACTTCCAAAGAGATCTCAAGTGAATTCATACATACAATCCAACATTTGACTTTTACAATAATTATAATGAAGAAACAGTTGAACAACTCCATTACCTTTCATCACCCCAAAGACCCAAACCCCATGGAGCATGCCAGAAAACTTAAAAACATAAACAAGCATAGGATCCCTTTGGTAGCGTGGTGGGAGGGACTTCCACCCCGCCATGGCTGTGTTTTATTACCGGACCTCTAAGGGTCAAGTAAATAAAACAACATGCACATTGTCATAGTCTTAAAAAAGAGTCATAGAAAAGAGTCATGAACCCTATATCCGTTATATGTTAGAATTGATTTGTATATAAGTGTTCACACCACCTATATACTTTTTGTAAAATAAAATCATGAGACCTAATAGATCAAAGTGGATAATACCTTATAATATGGTGTGAATCGTGACACAAGTTGATGAAAGAAAGAGAATTCTCCCGCCAAGCATCCAAACGAACTTGTAGTCAATGAAAAAAACTATTCTTCTAACTTGTTACTTGGATGGACCAAATTCCGGGTTGCTTCACTATTTGTATTTCGTATTCTAGAACTTCTAGATTTTGATTTCTAGATAACAAAAACCCAATTCAAAGTATTATCAAATGTTTGACCAACTGAAGCAAGAAATACTTGATTAAAATGCCTCACGCAATTCAATTGAATGATCTAGTACGTGGATTGGATTACTATCAGCTATATTTAGAAGATTGAATTTAAGGTTAACAACTATAAAAGGAAATTTCTAAGCTAATTCAATATCCCTGTTCAAGGGACATGAATATGAGATTGAAAGCTAATTCAGGCGTTGACCAACCTGACTCATCTAGAGCCTTCCAAGCAGTCAATCAAGGAAATACGTCATTCATGAATATAAGTTACCATTCCTGGACATCAGCCATCAATATTTTACTTTGAAAATCCTTCTTTAGACGTATGCTTGTCTGCCAATAGGATCATCTATGCCACAGGTAAAAACTTTATCCACGTTTCTTGCAATCATATCCACAATCTGGAATATGATTATCCGAGCAAATCCACGGAAACGACTTAAATGAAGATAATGACAAAGTTACAACTGAATTTACACTAAGTACCTGTAGGAACATTTTAGAAGCCTTGTCATGTGGTTTGACTTAGCTTTATAACCTCCTTCAACAGTCTGTTGGCTGAATCCTGTACTTCGTCAGGAACTGTGAGCTTTGGAGGCACTTCATCTAAAGCATACAAAGCAATAACCTTCATTACATCAACCAGAAGCAAACTCTGGGTACCAATTCCCCATACATTCTTATTAGCATACTCGCATGAATCCTTTAGCATGCATTGACTGCATACCTGAAGAGATCACAGATCAATAAAACAACATTAGAATATTTGCACTCAATACAGAATAAAAATGTTTCTTGGTAGAAGTATTGATATAATGGCTTACAATGTTTTCTTGAATTTTAAAGAACTTGCGCAATCTCTTAGCAGCATAGACATTATTTTTATCAAGGGAAGGGCAACCAAAGAGCACCACCTTTTTCAAGTGATTGCCTGACAACCACCTGCAAATACAAAATTTAAGGTTTTATTATTTTACAGAGTAAAAAGACAGTCATTCAATAAAGATTCCCCCAAAAGACAGTCGTTCCATAAAAACATGATAAAATGGCAGATAAACTGCATTTGTGTACAATATGGTTGTCAATAGCATATCAAGTTAAAAAAATTATGTTAGAATCAGTGAGATACTTTCATTATTTTTTATGCTTAAAAAAAAAAAAAAAACCTTCTGTCATTAGCATGATTTTTTGTCAACCACATAGAAACCAACTTTGCAAAAGTTTAGAACACATAACTCTTCATATGATGTAGCTCTGACAAATATATGCTGCTATTCATGAACGGTACTTAGGTGAAAATTAAGTGTTTTTGCTCTTAGTTAGCTAAATGGTATGCCAAGTCCATGAATGCCAGCTTTGCAATACTTGTATATAAGACCCTTTATTCTACAGCATGCTAAGGCAAAATCTCTAGACAATTAAAGCAGAATTACAATCATATTAGTCCTTATGATGTTATTTGAATAACAGATACAAAAGAACTCAAAATATCTTCAAAATAAGTCTAATGTTACTACAAGAAAAAGAATCAGATGTTCCATTTGATTGTCATGCTGATAGCACATAAGAATAAATCCAAGTGCAACCTATGTAATGACAAAGAAGGGTGTGAAAAAGGATCTTAACAATTGCTTCAGTAGAATTTTTTTGTGTGTGAGGGAGGGGGGAGAGAGAGAGAGAGAGAAAGAGAGAAAATAGTTTGTAATTTTTAATTAAATTTCATTAAATATGGATATAAAACAATTGGATATGCTTAGCTATACACTTGTTTGTATGAATGCCCATAATTTTGCATGTATACATGTATCTATGCACTTAAATAAGAATATCCCTATTTCCTTGTTTCTAAATGTGGTTAATATCATGAATGGCTCCTAACTAAAGTGAAATGTTCAATGTGGTACTTGAACTTTAAAAATCTTTAATGTGGTACCTGAACTATGACTCTGTTAACTAATGTGGTACTCATCCCTAATGTGGCTAGCTTCAAAAAATGACATTTGGTAGACAAACAACCTTCCAAGTACCACACCCCTAACGTGGCTCACTTCAAAAGATGACATATGGTAGACAAACAACCTTTCAAGTACCACATTAGCTAATAGATTCATAGTTTAAGTACCACATTAAAGATTTTTAAAGTTCAAATACCACATTAAACATTTCACTATAGTTTAGGGTACTTCATGATATTACCTTTTCTGGATTTTCATAATTGAAAAAACCATGTCCGCTGGCTTGTCATAGAGAAATAACAGCTTTTATCTGGTTTATTAGAAAAGGAACATAGGCAAATCAAAGACTGTTACTATCGTCTCATTTTATCTATGAAGTGGAACTTTAGATCACTCTCCAACATTGGCACAATCCTGGGCATATACACAGATGGAATCAAAGATAATTTTTTCATGAATAAAAATATGGTAAATTAATTGTTCATGGTACAATCCTTAATAAGTACTTGTTTTCTGTTCTTTTAACATTTTAGCGAGCTTCAGCCATTTTTTATGGATTGACAAATTAATCTCTTTATTGAGTTTCTAATTCTCATTAAAAGAACAAGAACAATTACCATGAGAATTTTCAATATCAAATATGCTAAACCTACCAACCAACTCACCAGAAAATATATCCCTCACATAATAAGCTTGAGATATCCATTAGCAGATATCAATTCACAAAACAAACTTAATCACTTATTGACAAATTTGAGAAGGAATTACTAAATAACCCATTAAAATGATCCTAAAAGGATACAAAAAGCCTTTCAAAACACTATAAAATCTCTAGAAATAGAGAAGTAATACTCCATTTAGCTGTGGAGAAAAAAAATAAAAGATGATAACAACAGCTAGTTCCTGCATTTTTCACTATTCTGTTAGGTATAAAGTAAAAACCTATTGTAATCAATCAACCTAGTTGCCATCAAAGAAACCATAATTCGTTTTTTGTTCCCACATTGCCCATTATTCCAATAACTCTAGAGTAAAAATCTAATGTAATCAATCAGCCCAGTTACATGAATTTCATTTCAATATCCAAAACTAAAACTGAAAGAACCATAATCCTCAAAATCCATTTTCCACACCATCTTAATAACAACCAAATACAACATGAAGAACATCAATCAGCCAACATAAATATAAAATATTAATAAACAATGTCAAATCCAAATGAAAAGGACAAAGGGGAAAAGATATTTTTACTTTGCAATCTCTTGATGATCTTTACCAAACTTGTAAGCAGCAAACTTGAGAAAATTCCTGCTATAACTATTATCAAAGTAACCAAAATCCAACTTGTTGTCTTCTAAAAAATTAGCCTTGTTAAAATACCCTTTTGAATACAAATGCCTGACGAAAATCTCAGCTAACTGTGAAAAATTCTTCAAAACTGTTTCCTTCCCCCTTTCTCCCCTCACTTTCACCATCTTTTCCGCCTTTTCTTCTTTCTTTTCACCCCCAAACAACTCAACCAAACTCTTAACTTTCTCGGGTTTTTTCCTCTCTACTCTCTCTTTTTCTTTCTTTTTCCCTTTTGGCTTTGGGTTTTCTTTCAAATTCCTAACTTCTCTTTCTAATTCTCTTAATCCCCTCATTAGCTCATTATCTTCGCCTTCGCTTTCGCTCTGACTTTCAGTTCCAGCAGCTTTTTCAGTTAAACCAACTGCTTCTTCAAACAATAGAGAAAGTGGTTTCTTGGTTGGTTTCTGGGGAGAGCAATTAAGGGTTCTGATTATGAAGGGTGGTGAAGAAGGGTGGAATTTGTAAAGAGGGTTCTGGGTTTTGAGAACTTCGGTTTGGTTACGAAGTAAGAAAGTTTTGATGAGAGACATTTGGAAATGAAGGGTTTTAGAAGGGTTCAAGGTTCGAAGGAGAGATGGGTTTTAGCAGAGATACTATTGAAGAGCTCTGAAACAGAGAGAGATCAATCCGAGGAGGCAATAGTCAAATGAGAAGCCAGGGTTTTAGGGGTTTAAGAGAAGAAAGGAACCAAAGCTGGCGCCTGACTGCCTAAGTATTGAGCTGGGCCATTACTTGGACTAAATCTTGGCCCGATTTCAAAAACTAGCCCTCTTGTTCAACTAGTAGTTATTGATTTATTCTTTTTTCTTTGGCAAAAGGGTAAATGAAAGTAAGAAACACCTAAATTAAAATTCAATAATCATTCAAACATTTATATTTTTTTGTAATAAATTAAATTTTTAAATATTTATTTTCACTCATTAAGCCTTTGTTATAAGAAATAAAGTAAATTGTTTCTATCCAATCAAAAATTTAACTTGATGAAATTAGATATTTAAAGGTTCATAACTCTTTTTACTACAAGAGGGAATATTACAACTCAAATTTAGAAACTTTACTGCATCAATTGAACACTAGAAACTTATTCCCTTCAAACAGCTATATATTATACGATGGAAAGGAAAATCATAAGTGTTCAAACATAAACTAATAACAAACCCTTCTCGAATGAAAATTGCAGAACTTCATCAATTTCACTGCTAGCCAATAAAATTATTAATGACAAGAATATTGACACAACCATTTCAGATTCTTGGTATCAGTGTTCATCTATTTTATTAACTGTAACAGCAGCACCAACTTTTGCTTTGTTAATAATCTTGTTAACGTCGTCAGTATCCAAATCAGTCCTAGGAACTACCTCCTTAACGTCAATGCTATTCGTTGAAGCTTCAGGCGTGGGGTTGATTTGTCCACCGCCCCCGCTCTTGGTCTTTGGCCTGGATGGTGTAGCAGTTCTGATTAAGAAAAACAACAAGAAGAAATTTGCAAGTAGGATTGTTAGATCATCGGGGAATAAAAGAAAAAAAAATCAACTGTCAGGAAACATATAAAATCATAATCATCTAGCTGAACTTACAATTTCAAAGTTTTTACATGTTGGAGCCTGGATATATTGTGCATAGGGGACAGAAATTTTCTCATGAAACTAACCACTATTAAAGCCATGAACAACAATATTGAAGAGCTTTACTTGGTTTCTCTTCAATAAGCTCAAGAGCTCTAAACTAATTTGTGGTTCTGACTTCTGAATTGAACCCCAGATCATTTATACCCAAAAAGACTTGAATAAGTCAGTTTTTGATTAGGTACTACACTATAAATATTACTTTTCTCATGGACTTTGACTCTTTTGAGTTTTAACAATTAGTCAATATGCATGTTCACATTGTCAATTTGTCATTTCATATTTGGATCAAGTGGAATTGATAAGTGCAAATATATATGAAAATTTCTAAATTTTGGGAGGTTGAAAGAATTGTTGATTTTATTAATTGTGAATTTGACACGTTTTGGAGATTATGGTGATAATTAAGGGAAGGTTTGCTTGTATATATTGGTATTATCTCTATAATGCAAGGTTGTTATAAGAAAGATTCTCTTCAACCTTTCATTAAACTCGGAGGAGAGATAGCTCATTTTATTCTTCTTTGGTGTTAAAGTGAGTTATTCTACATCTAATAAATTTTCAATATCCTGTAGTGTTATATTCAAATTGGATCATTCAACTTACTGTCAATTAATTTTAAATTCGATGTTTAACATGATATCAGAGTCAAGACTTTTTTTCCGTTGCCCTTTACTAATTTGTCACAATGATGCAGGCTTGTTAAAGTGGATTATCTCAAATCTAATAAATTTTTAATATCTTGTAATCTTATATTTATGTTAGGCCCCACCACTTATTACCAATTGATTTTAAGTTTGATGCCTAATACTTGGAACATCTCATCAAAGACATTGATGAAATTTTTAGTGAAATTTTTAACTTATAATTCATTCGTTTCTTGGTCTTTTGTTATGCACATGATAGATAAGAACTCTTAGTATAAGGTTATGATGGTGAAAATTGATGATTGAGATGTTGAAGGATAACTGCAAGTAGAAAAAACTTACAAAGAAAATAACTCACAAGAATTTGGATAATAGTAGAATATGATTATTGAATTAAAAAGAGATAAAAGTTTATCTCCAAAACTAGAAACTAAATGATACAGAAATATCATTATAAGAATTATAATCAAAGATACAAAATAATAGAAGTTAACCACTCTAAAAAATTTATCTAAGAGATATAAAACTTAAAGAACAATCTAAAAGATTGTTTAAAGATTAAAAAAACTCTATTCTTCCTTCTACCAAAGAATAATGGAAAATATATATGCTAGGAACGTCCCTCCAAACATAGGAACTTTGAGATTGAATTGTTAGAATCGTGTCTAAAATCAAAGGATATGCATGTGAACTCATTTACTTTTACAAATTATATAATAATAAATTTGACCATAATCTCATCCGTATTCATGCTTTTCTTTTTCAACTAATGTGAACACAATTTCTTTATTTTAACCCGTTTCATTTTTGTATTTATTTAGTGGATTTGGACTAAGGATAAGTTCATCTTATTTTTGAATAAACCCTCCTTAATCTCAGTCTAAGTTGTAAGATATCTTGACATTTTGGTGTTAGGTCAATGCATGGAATATTCATATATTTTGAATATTGAATTGTTTTCACTCTTTTAACCTCATCCATACTATTAGATTGATTAATTATGGAACTTATTAATTTGACATTTTTTTTATGTTGATGAGTTATTAAAATTGCTTAATCAATACAAGTCTTATGTTTTTTTGTGCATAGGAGGTCATGATGAAAAAAAAAAAGATTGTATATGATAAAATTCAAACCCCAATATTAAATTTCACGTTTTAAAAATACCAGCCTACTTTAATAAACCATTGATATCATTATGAATGAAACCAATTAAATCATCTACAGGAACAAAAAGTTTGGAGATTTGAAAACTGCAACTAATGTCCAACGTGTCAATATTTTATTGAGATTATTGTGATAAATTCGAAAATAGTGAGGAAGATTATACTATATACTAAAGTTAAAGTGATTAATTACCCTACCAAAAAAAAAAAATTAAAGGCCCTTCTTCCTTAAACAATTTAAGTAACATTAAGGATCCAAATGGAGTTCTTTGTATGTAGAGAGTCAAATAATAAGGTACCCCATTAATAGAAAGTTAGGAGACCAGTGGCTCCTTTGTCTTTTAAAGCCATATATATACCAAGCTTTGTATATATTCCCCAGCTTCTTCCAAGCATATTCATGTTGGATCCGTAAAATTAAACCAGCATTCCCATTAAAAATCGAAGAACCCAATCCCTCTCCACCTTGCAATTTTTTATAGGAACTTCCCTCACAATAAATATTTGCATCATGGTGATGACGAGGAAGTGATGGTGATTTTTTTTTTCTTTTGCTGTGGGTGGTGATATAGCTTCAATGAGGCACCTAATTTCCTGTTCATTTTATCAGATGATCTGTTAGGGTTTAATTAATGTGTAAGAAGTGATTAATCATTCGTTTTATACTATAATGTTTGGCGTGTTATTCATGATTGAATCATAAAGTAATCCCTTAAATCTATTGGGTCTAAAAGTCAAAAGTCTTTGCTCCATCAACAACCTTCGGTCCCTTCACCTTAAACCTCTAACAATCAGTGAAGTTAGTGATGATCTGAGGCGAAGTCTAAGACAAAGAAGGGACCAAACAGTAAAGTGATTATAAATGTATTAGGCATCTTTCCTTTTTATTTTATCAAATAATTTGCTAGGTTTCAATATTTAGGAAGTGATTTTTTTTTGAAAACTGTTTTAGCATTTTTCATTATCGAATCATAAATTAAGAACCCTTAAATCTATTGCTGAATTGGTCAGAATTCTTTGCTAGGTAGCTCCAACAACCCCCTGGTGGTCCCTTCGCCATAAATTTCTGATAACAATCATTTTGATGCAATGAAATTTTCCAAGAAAAAACTAAAAATAGAAAAATGACCAATTCTCACTATTGAAAACTCATGTACTTGCCCGAGCAAATAATTAAGTTTAGCAAGCTGGAAAAGGCAAGAGATGGTGAAAAGATTGGGGAAGAAATGGTGTCAGTGTACAGGTTCTTATTCCTCGGGATAAAACCTAGGTGAAGATATTTAAGTAAAATTTATAAAAAAAAAATTTTAAATGATTTAATAAAATTTTTAATAAAAAATTTTAACTAATAGATTGATAAAATTTAATGTAAAACTTAATAATATGTAAAAAATATATATTAAAAATAATATTTATAATTTAAATTTGATCGATACTTATTTAATGATAAAAATTTTATCAATATTATTACTAAAAATATATATTTAATAAATATATTAAAAATTTAAAATTTTACATACTAAATCTATGTAATAAAATTTTTTAATTTATCAATTTTTAATTTTTATTTACTCATTTCTTATAAAAAATTTTACAAACTTCACCTATAAATTTTCATTTAAATCTTTCTCTTTTGATAAGTCAGTAAAATGCAGATTTCAACTTGGTGAGAGGGCCTCACCATGCATTCAAATGAAGCCTCAATAATTTAGATGTAACAAAGTACCTTAAATTAATTAAGGAGGTTCAAGTTAATCAACTTAAATCCTTAATATTTTTCTTATTTGATCATCAAGATATATACTTTATATATATTATTTGGGATTGAAGAAGTTTGAAATTAACTTTTTGAGTTTGAAAATGTTACAATATTTTATTTTGTGCCTTTATGATCAATATCGATGTATTTGTACTTACATAGTTTTATACTTAAATTATATATCTCTAGTTTTAATTCATCTCTAGACCTTATCTCTCTCTCTCTCTCTCTCTCTCTCTCTCTCTCTCTCTCTCTCTCTCTCTCTTTTTGACATGTATTTGTTTGACTGGTAGATAAAGAATTTGTTAGGGCTGCTACACTTTTCTAATCAAATATATATAACAAACTTAATTTATAATCAAGCAGAAAATTTTTCACTAGCTGAGCACAATGAATTGAGTTCAAACAGGAACTAATATCGACTGCATACTTATGGAATTAATACATGACAGATGAAATTTTTTACAAGAAAGAGAGGAGACCAAAAGGAAACTGAGATTATTTATACTACAAATTTAAGATTCTTTCATAATGATGG